ACAGAGCCCAGACATTTCGTCACTGGAGTTACTGACTACACAAACCAAAAACACTCGCGATAGGCGTCACAGAGCTCACATGCTTAACTCCGGATACAAACAGTATGACGTATGTCTAGTGTGACGTCACAAAGTTCACGTCAGATACACCTACCACAAGACACACAAACCTCGTCACAGAGCTCTGACACGTCATACAAGGCGAGGCGAGCATCTGTGTGTATGTCCAGACAAACGAGATACGCTGCAATGAAAGATGCTGATCCTTCAATTAAACAAAACAAATATACTTCCCTCAGGAACATTCGCGGCAGGTCAGAAAGGGTTGAAGGAGAGGATCGAGCCCCACGTCTTACAATAATTAAACATGGCCCACTGGGGACGTATCAGTGGTGGAAGAAAGTATTGGTCTGTATTGGTCTGTGTTAGCAATATCTCAGTCTGGTCGTTGTAGTAAACGTGTTGGGTCTGTGTCAACAACTGAAGGTGCTGTACATTATATACGCACAACTAAATCTTCATCTGTGATTGATCACGCGCTCTGGAGCAAATTGAATATTTTAAACAAAGTCCAGTGATATTTCTCTACAGAACATTTTGCATATTTTTGCATATCGACACATAAGATAGGAGATGTCGTATACTGTTAATAAATACGACAAAATAAGAACCAAACAAACCGTATTTGGAGAAAATGAGTTGGTGCTGCTGGTTGACATTCACCACACACGTATTCGTCATGTAATGGACTGACCGTCCTCCCCTCCACACCAGGGAGCGTTATACATACATCCCACAGATGCCCCTTTAGCCATTCACAACCACAGATCGGGATAAACCGTGTCTGAGATGTTCTAGTACAGTTCTACACACTACCGCTCTGTGTGATGACATCTCCAGAGAAGGTAACTTCAGCTTCACGCTGAGCCATGCAATGGTGCGGCCTGATCTATTTACAGTCGGGCTTGGCCGTTTTCTTTTCGAGATACACAAATCAGAAATGGTGTTTGAACAATTGGCTCATGTCTACCCTAATTTAGAAGCCTCTACTCTTATCGGTTTTCTGGAGTGTTCACCAAATGCTTACTTTAAAGTTATCAGATTGGAATAATAGATACAGTGTTGATGACATTGTACTTAAGAATCGTATTATTTTCCAAAACAAATTCACCCACCAGTAACTAGTTCTACTACATTTCTCAGTATGCCAGATAACCAACATCTGTTCCTCATCCGGGGGTCTAAGCGAGGATTTACGGTATGTATACTGAACTTGGAACCTACTTCAGATTCAACCGACGAGTCAAGTCCACCCTGAATCCTTCAGAACCAGCTCGTGGCCTACCCTGTCAAAGTCTAGTCGAGTCAGCTGAAGACATTTAATTTTCTAGGACAAGAATCGGAAAAAACGAAATCCGCTTTTCTAAATTCTGTTCAGAGGAGATGTAGAGTCTCCATCAAGAGAGTAACTGGTTGGCAGAAGGATCAATGATCGGGGTAACTCTGGCAACACACGACCTCATCGCGACACGCGATCGGCCATCACATCAATCCCTTTAGCCACCGACTCACAGCACCGAGGACTAAAAACACGCCCTTTTTCCTCGATCCTATTTCAATTTCAAAACAATCTGAAACCAATATGCCGGCGTGAAAAATGTCAACATTGATTAGAATTTACTGGTTTGTATGTTTAAAAAACGAAGACGCAATTATATTGTTACTGAAGGGTTCAAGCCTGGCGTCGGATGTTTGATTTACTTGGAGACAGGCATTTTCATTATTTGTATCTTGTACATCTGGTATACACATCATTGATGTTTCGATTAGAAAAACACACCAGATTGGTGTATCTGAATAGTTTGAGGGTATGTTTGATGTGCTGTAGATCATTATATGAATGTAGAGTTTCAGTTAGTTGGGTTTTACGTCGATTTTAGCAATATTCTATCAATATTACGGGAGGGCTCACCCAAAATGTCCCTCAAACGCTGTGCCTATCTTGAAACTCGAACCCCGGCCGTCGGGATGACAGGCAAACACTTTAACCACTAGGCTACCCCATTTACACACATATGCATGTGATCAGGTAACTGTTGAATTTTGTATGTTTTACGTGTCTTTCTTCTAGTCCATCAAAAAATAAAACAAAAAATAACTTATAAAACAAATCGTATGTCACATATTCGGTAGCTTCCAATCCAATGAAGCTAATGTTTCCACACACAATTTTATTTTTAAATGGTCTCAACTCGGACACGTCAAATGACAGGTGCATCAACCGTTACTCGTTTCCGAGAAAATATGCAACTGAATTAGTTTGCTTTGTTTGAAAAGTTTGTTAAATTGCCAATTCAAGCCCGGAATGGTTACTACAGTGTCACACGAATAACATGTAACAGATATAGTTAATATATAGTTAATATACACAAGGAAGTGCTTCCAGCCAGACACATGGTAAAATCAAATTGTATGCATATAATGTGAGAGGTGGGAAAGTTAGGTGAGGATTCAGAAGACGCACAGGTAACACTAACAATCTCCTCGGTTTAACGGGGCGGTGGGGTAGCCTAATGGTTCAAGCGTTGGCTCGGGGTTCGAATCCCCACATGGGCACAATGTGTTAAGCCCATTTCTGGTGTCCCCCGCCGTGATGTTGCTGGAATATTGCTAAAAGCGGCGTAAAACCAAACTCAGTCAGTCCTCTGCTTAACAACGGAAGAAAGAGAAAAGTTAGATAGCGACAGAGGGGAGAAATAATATTGATGTAATTAAATAATAATTACACGCTTAACGCACCAACCCACGTTAAGATAAAACACAATTCACTGCTTGGCAACAGAGAGTGTCTATATACACACTGGATAGAATCACTTGGTATGTACCGGGGAGAAACACTATATACACACTGGATCAGGTAATCACTGGATGGTATGGAGAGAAACACTACCGGATAGAATCACTTGGTATGTAAACACTATATACACACTGGATAGAATCACTTGGTATGTACCGGAGAGAAACACTATATACACACTCACTTGGTATGATATACACACTGAATCACTTGGTATGTACCGGGGAGAAACACTATATACACACTGGATAGAATCACTTGGTATGTACCGGGGAGAGAAAATCACATGTACCGGGAGAAACACTATATACACACTATAGACACACTGGATAGAATCACTTGGTATGTACCGGGGAGAAACACTATATACACACTGGATAGAATCACTTGGTATGTACCGGGAGAAACACTATATACACACTGGATAGAATCACTTGGTATGTACCGGGAGAGAAACACTATATACACACTGGATAGAATCACTTGGATACCGAATCACTTGGTATGTACCGGGGAGAAACACTATATACACACTGGATAGAATCACTTGGTATGTACCGGAGAGAAACACTACTATACACACTGGATAGAATCACTTGGTATGTACCGGGGAGAAACACTATATACACACTGGATAGAAACACTATTGTATATGTACTGGAGAGAAACATTATGTATGTACCGGTAAGAAACACGAAACACTTTGTACATACCTAAAAAACACGATGGACTTGTAATAAAAACACATCAAGTTTTATGGTGGATGCTTTAATAAACAGCCGCATCGTTGAGTGGTTTTAGCGTTCATTCTCATGCAAACTAGTTTTCCTGTCAGAAATCCATACTTGTTGGGTACAGTGAGTAGACGTTATCAGTCCGAGTACCGTTAAGGGCTGTATCTACAAGTTCACACCACATACATGTATAACAACGTCTCGCTCGATACTTAACAACATCCAGACAGTCTGCATTACCTGTTGAAGCGTGATTAAACAAACGGCCAGGAAAATTCCTAACATTCTTGAGTATTCCAAGTTCGTACACGATAGACCCTACATGAACGCGCAGTTTGTCAATATAAATCTATGATACTAAACAACATTTGCACGAGTCTAAAGAAGGAAAATTCAAAAATTTAAAATCTTTTGTCAATATAAATCTATGACTTCACGAGTCTAAAGAAAAAGCAAAAAATTTAAAATCTTTGACCCATAGTTTATATATTCAATACATTTTCGCTTCCATTTTTTATAAATATCTGCCTTGTCATCGCACAAATAACTGCAGAGGCACCCGTGTATTAACTTTGTTCTGGAGTTTACAGACATGAAGGTGATGTGTGTAAAGGTTTCAAAGGAAAGGAGTAATTCCACGTGTTCTGAATTTATATTTAAGCCATAAGAGACAAAATAACGCTATGTAAAATTTCAGATATGCAACTGCAAGACAAATTGTTTCAAGTTGATTTCCAGTCATAACCCGGCTCGTTATGTCGTAACTTTCAATTCTGAACTTAACCTAATTGTGATATCTTTAACTCCGTAATTACTGGCACAAAGGTAGATGGGTTATCAGATACCGTTTTATTCATAGAATCCGGACTTGACACGCAAGATCTGGAGCTGGTCAAACAGGACTGTCCTGGAAGTACATTCCAATTTGCTGGAATGTATCACACATAAAACTGATATGGTGGGGTAGACGAGATTCTAGGTGCTTTAGTGTGTATGAATGTGAATATAGATCAAAGTATTTGCATGTGCCCTAAAACTACGGTTTTCCTAATGCGTATTAATGTCACCTAAATCTTGAGTTGGAGACGCTGGGGTTGCCGGAAGTCCCTATCTGCATGTACAATGACATTGCGTCGGTCCCGAAGCCCGCCACGCACACTCCAATCACTGACAGCATCACTAGAGCTCTCACAGTGATTACTTTTGTGCTCCGAACTGCTGAACAATAAAACGGATAATGAAGTATTGAAAATACATATAGATACTCAGATAAATGTATTAAAAATGAAAGCTTAACATTTGGTCGGAATGTGCTTGGCGCTGGTATCGACCGTACAGGCAACAGTGCCGCCCAAGGCTCAAGTCAGTCACTCACTGAAGTCATAGACGCTGCACAGTGTTGCTGCACGGTGAGCGGTGGACAGACGACACTTCTCTCAACTCCCAAACATACTCTAACGGTCATCAAACACCAGCGAGATGCTATCTAGTTTGATAGTATCATTACACTAATCCCCACCAGCTTCGAGTGGTCTGCATGTCCACAGCACCGTCGGGTTGTCACGCGTCTCCCATGCGACAGTGTTCGGTCGATGGTTCGCAACGAAGACAGCCTGCCTGACCATTTCTCTCGGCTTAGGTTCATCATCTGGTGACAGTAACATGCCCTGCACGGAGTTAACCTGCTACCATAGAACGCTGGACATGTCTACCTAGAGTGGCGGCAGACGACCAGGTAGGTTGTGTTATTATTTACCTGATAAACTGCTCTGATATGACTAAAAGCATTGCCACCCACTGTAACACTCCCATTAACTAATCGCGTGTTAGAACCAAATGTTGCGAGCGCAATCAACCTGTATGGGTTGTGTTGGTAATCTCACACTTGAGTTGTCTAGCACATGAGATCTGTGCACCGCTGTACATGGTCGGTTATAAGCCGTCTGCGTTTTGTAACCAAACGATCCAGAATGCTCCCGTTGAGGCAACATTTCATAAGTTTATGTCTGGCGACTGACACACTATGTGGGCTTAGGCATTAGCTGCCTGTCGTATTTAGTTTTTCCATGAGCCGCCTCAAAGTGGTGATGGCACACAAGAGACTGCGGTACTACCTACTTTAGTGTCATCTAACAACCTCTCAGTGTGTATGTTACAGTGCTTCAAGCATTGAAGCTATGGCATTCTGTTGATCAGAGCTGACACAACCAGATCTGTTGAGTTGACAGCCAGTAGCCTGTTGCTGTGGGAGGACCATGGTATTATTGCCACTAACCAGTTGCTATAAGATTTATTTGGTGATTTTGTCACTAACAAGATACCCTGGGAAGACCATGGTGTCGTTGTTAGTAGCCAGTTGCTGAAGCCAGATCATAATGCTGTTGTTAGTAGCCAGTAGCTATAGGGAGATCATGGTATTCTATTTAGTAGCCATTTGCTGTAGGTAGACGATGGTGTGTTATTTAGTAGCAAGTTGTTGCAGGAAGATCATGCAGCTGTATATAACAATTAACTGTTGTTTTAACAGGATGCTGCAGGAAGTCCATGACACTATTGGTAGTAACCAGTTGCTGTGGGAAGACCATGGCACTATCGGTAGTAGCCAGTTGGTCATAGGAAGACCATGGCACTATTGGTAGTAACCAGTTGCTGTGGGAAGACCATGGCACTATTGGTAGTAACCAGTTGCTGTGGGAAGACCATGGCACTATCGGTAGTAGCCAGTTGGTCATAGGAAGACCATGGCACTATTGGTAGTAACCAGTTGCTGTGGGAAGACCATGGCACTATTGGTAGTAACCAGTTGCTGTGGGAAGACCATGGCACTATCGGTAGTAGCCAGTTGGTGATAGGAAGACCATGGCACTATTGGTAGTAACCAGTTGCTGTGGAAGACCATGGCACTATTGGTAGTAACCAGTTGCTGTGGGAAGACTATGGCACTATTGGTAGTAACCAGTTGCTGTGGGAAGACCATGGCACTATCGGTAGTAACCAGTTGGTCATAGGAAGACCATGGCACTATTGGTAGTAACCAGTTGCTGTGGAAGACTGTGGCACTATTGGTAGTAACCAGTTGCTGTGCAAAGACCCTGATACTATCGGTAGTAACCAGTTGCAGTGAGAAGACCATGGCACTATCGGTAGTAACCAGTTGCTGTGGAAGACCATGGCACTATTGGTAGTAACAAGTTGCTGGGGGAAGACCATGGCACCATTGGTAGTAACCAGTTGCTGTGGGAAGACCATGGCACTATCGGTAGTAACCAGTTGCTGTGGGAAGACCATGGCACTATTGGTAGTAACCAGTTGCTGTGGGAAGACCATGGCACTATCGGTAGTAACCAGTTGCTGTGGGAAGACCATGGCACTATTGGTAGTAACCAGTTGCTGTGGAAGACCATGGCACCATTGGTAGTAACCAGTTGCTGTGGGAAGACCATGGCACAATCAGTAGTAACCAGTTGCTGTGGGAAGACCATGGCACTATTGGTAGTAACCAGTTGCTGTGGAAGACCATGGCACTATCGGTAGTAACCAGTTGCTATGGGAAGACCATCGCACTATTGGTGCTGTGGGAAGACCATGGCACTATCAGTAGTAACCAGTTGCTGTGGGAAGACCATGGCACTATTGGTAGTAACCAGTTGGTCATAGGAAGACCATGGCACTATTGGTAGTTACCAGTTGCTGTGGAAGACCATGGCTCTATCGGTAGTAACCAGTTGCTGTGGAAGACCATGGCACTATTGGTGTTGTGGGAAGACCATGGCACCATTGGTAGTAACCAGTTGCTGTGGGAAGACCATGGCACTATCGGTAGTAACCAGTTGCTGTGGGAAGACCATGGCACTATTGGTAGTTACCAGTTGCTGTGGAAGACCATGGCTGGTAGTAACCAGTTGCTGTGGAAGACCATGGCACTATTGGTAGTAAACCAGTTGCTGTGGGAAGACCATGGCACTATCGGTAGTAACCAGTTGCTGTGGGAAGACCATGGCACTATTGGTAGTAACCAGTTGCTGTGGAAGACCATGGCACTATTGGTAGTAACCAGTTGCTGTGGGAAGACCATGGCACTATCGGTAGTAACCAGTTGCTGTGGGAAGACCATGGCACTATTGGTAGTAACCAGTTGCTGTGGAAGACCATGGCACTATTGGTAGTAACCAGTTGCTGTGGAAGACCATGGCACTATTGGTAGTAACCAGTTGCTGTGGAAGACCATGGCACTATTGGTAGTAACCAGTTGCTGTGGGAAGACCATGGCACTATTGGTGCTGTGGGAAGACCATGGCACTATCAGTAGTAACCAGTTGCTGTGGGAAGACCATGGAACTATTGGTAGTAACCAGTTGGTCATAGGAAGACCATGGCACTATTGGTAGTTACCAGTTGCTGTGGAAGACCATGGCTCTATCGGTAGTAACCAGTTGCTGTGGGAAGACCATGGCACTATCAGTAGTAACCAGTTGCTGTGGGAAGACCATGGCACTATTGGTAGTAACCAGTTGGTCATAGGAAGACCATGGCACTATTGGTAGTAACCAGTTGCTGTGGGAAGACCATGGCACTATCGGTAGTAACCAGTTGCTGTGGGAAGACCATGACACTATTGGTAGTAACCAGTTGCTGTGGAAGACCATGGCACTATTGGTAGTAACCAGTTGCTGTGGAAGACCATGGCACTATTGGTAGTAACCAGTTGCTGTGGAAGACCATGGCACTATTGGTAGTAACCAGTTGCTGTGGGAAGACCATGGCACTATTGGTAGTAACCAGTTGCTGTGGGAAGACCATGGCACTATTGGTAGTAACCAGTTGCTGTGGGAAGACCATGGCACTATTGGTAGTAACCAGTTGCTGTGGGAGAACCATGGCACTATTGGTAGTAACCAGTTGCTGTGGGAAGACCATGGCACTATTGGTAGTAACCAATTGCTGTGGGAAGACCATGGCACTATTGGTAGTAACCAGTTGCTGTGGGAAGACCATGGCACTATTGGTAGTAACCAGTTGCTGTGGGAGAACCATGGCACTATTGGTAGTAACCAGTTGCTGTGGGAAGACCATGGCACTATTGGTAGTAACCAGTTGCTGTGGGAAGACCATGGCACTATTGGTAGTAACCAATTGTTGTGGAAGACCATGGCACTATTGGTAGTAACCAGTTGCTGTGGAAGACCATGGCACTATTGGTAGTAACCAGTTGCTGTGGAAGACCATGGCACTATTGGTAGTAACCAGTTGCTGTGGGAAGACCATGGCACTATTGGTAGTAACCAGTTGCTGTGGGAAGACCATGGCACTATTGGTAGTAACCAATTGTTGTGGAAGACCATGGCACTATTGGTAGTAACCAGTTGCTGTGGAAGACCATGGCACTATTGGTAGTAACCAATTGCTGTGGAACAGGGCATTGTTATGAATAGCCTGTTGCTGTGGGAAGACCAAGGTATTTATTTGGTAGCCATTTACAGACCATTGAATTTTCTTTAGTAGCCAGTTGCCACAGGCAGACCCATGTCACAATGGTTAGTAGCCAGTTGGTGTGGGAAGAGAATACTATTGATTTAGTAGCCATTTGATGTGTGCATACCATGGTACTATCGTTAGTAGCCAGTTGGTGTGGGAAGAGAATACTATTGATTTAGTAGCCATTTGATGTGTGCATACCATGGTACTATCATTAGTAGCCAGTTGGTGTGGGAAGAAAATACTATTGATTTAGTAGCCATTTGATGTGTACATACCATGGTATTATCATTAGTATCCAGTTATCCTGAGAAGACCATGTTACTATTCTTAGTAGCCAATGGCTGTGAGAATTGTTGCTGTGTTATTGCCAGCAAGGTGAGTATCCTAGTTTCTGTGAGAAGATGTATGTGTCATGACCAGCAGACATTTGTTGTTTGGGAAGAATGGTCATGATTGTCCAGTCAGCCGATATTGAAGGTCAACTTTCATTGCCAGCAGTTGTTGGTTCCTATAGCATCGTCAGTAGCTGGATGCAGCTCACAACCTCATGGTGTCAGTTGTAGCTGTGAAATAAAATACTGTTTTAAGTTTAACTGTCAATACACATGAAACTTGATGCTTCTCACTGTCAAAGTTTTTAGAGCTTTGTCCAATAATTCTGATAAGAACTAATGGAGATGTCCCAGCCTAAAATGTTCCAAACAAGTTCCTATGAAATGTTAACTCCCTGAATATGTCTTACCCCATGTCAGACTGTATTGATGAGCAATGGCGGACTCTGTGCTGTCTAAGAGATCACACAACTACCTAAGACGGCAATTCAAAAATGACATTTGGTGTTGAAAGTGGTGAAAGATGCAGTCTTTTCCTGAAAATTTTTAATATTCTTTTAATCTAGGTTCAATGGCTCCCACTTTTAAAAGTTTATACAGTTAATTTTATGATAACATAAACTCTGTGAATGACTTGTTGTTTAATAGTTTCATCTCTCGGGGGAAAAATCCGTTGATGTGTCCAGTGAATGGCAGTTGTACAAAGTTTAATCAACAAGATTCCTGCTTTTTTTTATGATTCTCATGTTGGTTCAGGAACCTTAAATTATCTGTCAACCACAGCATGAACTAACCCTTCTTAAAGAAATAAAGATGGTGTACAATCACCCTGTTTCTGGCCAGGTGGAGAATCCTGTAATAAATCTTGAGGAGATGGATTTTTTTCTGTTGTCCCCAAGTTCACACTTCAAGTGACTTTTATTGT